ATGGTGATAATTTGCATTTAATTTCTATCGATTCTGTTAAAATGTGGCTTCTGTTCATTTTAATCAAAAGCACTCTGGGCCATCTGAAAAATAATATGAAACACACAATGGGCAGACAGAGCAATCACCATCCAATTTCTCAGCCCTAATTAAACTTTCCACTACAGTGCCACAAGCCATGGTAACTGGGAAATCAGCTTATAGAAGCGTGCGTTTTTTCCCCCACCAGTTTTATTACCTTAATGTATGTGCCATTGTAAATCTAGTGTGACAGCAAGTCTTTTGTAGGTGTTAACAAGCTGAATACCATATAAAACTTTAAATTTTTAGGTCTGAATGACGCTTCACTTGTGTAGCTTTGCACCTTCTCAGAATTGTCAAACCAAATGTTTAGTAGGTTGCTACAAAGATTTTCAGACCCAAGTTCTAATAATCTGTTTGCAGTTCCCTCTTGGAGACATTTTATTGCTTCTTGTACTTTTGTTATAAGTTAAAGTGGCTTTTAACCGTCAATGACAAAGAATCATTCTGCTGAGGGAGGAATTTCATGGTCAATTTTAAATATTTCGTGCATGTTTCACACAAAACAATTTTTCAACCCCACATATGAGCTAACCATTTCCATATTTAACTGACCACAAAAACCTTAATGTAGACATTCTACGGCAGATTAGTAATCACCATTAAACCACTCAGGAATTGTCTTTTGACAGAAAATTACTTCAAATCATCACTAAAATTAAACCATTTGCAGAACAATGTGCTGATACAGTGGAACATTTGCAGGTTAAAGACAAAACACCCATGGTTCAGTCCTGCACTGAGAACATTTTACATTCATCTCACCTTTTGAATGGCTTTGTCTAAATTCCAAACTCGCTATTAACTTTATACTTTGCCATAATGTGTCTGCGTATGAACTTACTGGTTTCTTGCCTACAATCAACTTCTCAACCTTCTGAACCTGGGAGACATGATCCTCATTGGTTTTCAGTTCCCTTTTGCGGATTCGTTCATAAATTCCTGTAAGCATTTCTCGAGGGATGTCTTCCCCATCATCCACCCCTGCAGGACAACAATCCTGGTTAGTCTCCTACAAATATGTACTTAAATAATATATTTTTGTTCCTGTAGCTGAACAGTAGTAACCATCTGACAGTGATAGAAGGTACCTTTGTACAGATCAAACTTTCCTGCAACAATGTATATACATTAGACTCGTAAAAAACTTCAAACATCTCAATATAATATAGACCAAAAATTAAGAAAATGTTTCCATTTCAACAGCAGCAATATAAACAGGTTTGAGGGATAAGGTCCCAGAAAAAGCACACAATTCAAGTTTCTTGACAGCTGTGCAATGACCTAGCTGGAAAGAATGTATGCATACTTGAACGATGTGAGTAGACTTAGGCTTGACTGCTACAATTTCTGTGGGCACGTTAACATTTACTGTCAAGACATTGGAGGTGTTGGGCACCTGAGAATCTGTACACCACCAGAAAACAAGACTTCTTAAAACAAATAACAAACAGAAAATTCTGCCACTAAGTTCATAAGTAATATTTTTGATTTTGCTGCAGTACTAACAACACAGAAATGGTCATTGTCATTCAGTATTATGAAGCAATCTTAGAATCCTACAATAGCCATTCTGCCAATGGTGCCTTTTTAAAATTCTGTCATGGGATGTAAACAGACCTGGCAAAGGCTGCATTTGTTGCCCATCTGATGCAGAGTCACCCTCTGTGCTGTTAAGGAGGAAGTTGCAGGGTTTTGACCCAAAGATAGTGAAAGAATTGCAGCCAGTTCCAAAACAGGATTCCTGTGTCTTGGAGGAGAAATTCCAGGTGGAGTTCTTCCCATGTGTTTGCTCCCCCCTGTTCTTCAAGCTGGTATAGGTCACATGTTTGGAAGGTGCTGTGGAAGGAGGCTTGGCACGTTGCTACAGAGCATCTAACATATGGTACATCCTGCTGGCACCATGAGCCAAAGTTGGAGGAATTGAAAGTTTATCATAAATGAGTGCCAATCAAGTGGCTGCCTAGTTCTGAATTGTGTTGAGTTTCTGGACTGATACTGGAGCTGCACTCATGCAGGTAAGTGCAGATTTTATTCCATTACACTCCTGACATTCATCCTGTCGATGAACAAGCTTTGGAGAGTCAGATGAGGAGTTGCTTGCAGCAGAACTCCCAGCTTCTGACCTTGTACTCACAATATTGATATGGCTATTCCAATTAAGTTTCTGCTTCATAGTAAGCCTCAGGATGTTGATGGTCAGGGTTCAGAGGTCATAACAGAATTGAATATCACAGGGAAATGGCTAGGTCCCCTCTTGTTGGGGATGGCTATTACCTGACACTTGTCTAACAAAAAATGTTTCTTGCTACTTATCAGCCCAAGGCTTAAGTTGTGCATTTAGAAATGTCTTAGTGCATTTAGAAACTGCTTCAGTATGATTTGCCATGAACGGTACTCAAGGAACATTGTGCAATCATCAGTGAACATCCCCACTTTTGACCTGATGTTAATCGATAGGTCATTGAAGATGGTAAATGGCTTTGGGGCTAGGATACTACCCCTAGGTAGTCATGCAGATATCTCCCAGTGCTGGGGTGATTGACCTTCAACAATACAAACATCATCTTTTGTGCTAGGTATTACGCGAACCAGTGGAGAGTTCCCTTTCCCACCAATTCCCACTGACTTGAATCTTGCTCGGGGTCCTTCATGCCACACCTGGTCAAATGCTGCTTCAGTAAATGCCAGTCACTCTCAGCTCACCTCTTGAATTCAGTTCTTTGGCTCTAATTTCAATAACAGAATTTGGGAGGCTCGCGGCCTTGGTGGGCATAGCAAAAAGATTATTGATGTACAAGTGGCACTTGATAGCACAATTGATGCCAAATTCTGCTGGTTACTGCCAAATGCATCTCATGATCTCAGCTCCTTGATTTCAAGATCAGATGGAAAATCTAATCATTTTCAATCTAATGCTTTTTTTTTTCCTGGTAGCCTGAAGTGGGAAAGTAGACAATCTTTGGGTTGATTTTCTTTTTATTCACTGCAATTTTCTTCCTCTTTTTATTTATTCAGTTTCTTAGTGTTCAACACCAGTCCAGTCTTTCACATTCACTGCTACAAATCGTTCCATCATCCATCTCCTTTAACCTCAAAACATTTGTCAACCAGATCCTGACAAATCTCACTCTAACCACTTCATCCTCAGTTTGTCTGCATTCTTTGACTATTTGCAAAAGTCAGCAAATAATCTGTAATATGTCATTATCTCTGCAATTCCTCCTTCCACTTATACCCTAAGTGAGCTAAACATCTAATAATGAGATATCCTTTCAGTAATTTAACTTTAAGGTTCTGAATTCATTTCTCCGACTGCTCAATACACGTACATGGACACAACTGCAACACGATTTAAACATATTTGACAAATTACATCAAAATTGAAATAAGATAGCATGCCTTTAAATTGAATAAACAGGAGAATATATGGCATAGAAGGTGAACACAATCCACTTTAAGCCAGTGATTATCTTTGTTTAAAGAAAAAATTTCATTCATCGACTCAGCTTGTATCCACTGTGCGAGAGCTATACATTATTGAATCTACTTTTAATATTATTCTTTTAATTTGAATTGCAAGAGATCAGGATTTATGTTTAAGCTGCTAAATCAATTTTCTGTATTAGGCTTATAAACCCTTTGTAATAGTTGATTTACAAGTCTGCTTCTGGGCTACAGAAGATAGATTTAGCAGAAAAAACACCAGCTGCTAGTTGTTAGTCTACAGATTCTGATTTTAAACAATGGTTTAAAGGCATATCCAGAATGATTGGGTTACCTTTATCTTACATTCATATTTGCTAATTCCACAGACAAGATATTGACATCTATCCTTGCAGGTCCCCAACCTGGACCATGTTCCTCAGACTTGCATATTACTTATACAGGTTCTAACTGAACTAATTTCCATGCTGCGCCACAATCGTCACTTTAAACATGATTTTTCACCGTAAGGGATAGAGCGAGTTTACAAACAAAAAAGGGTGCCCTATTCAAGAAAATCACAATTCAAAAAAGATCTTTAGTAACACTAACCTCGCAAATTCTTGATAAAATCCTCCAATTTCATTTTCCGTTCTGGTTTCACATTGGGGCTGTACATGTCTGTGTTCAACAAAATGATTGCAAAGGCTAGGATGAAGATGGTATCAGGATTCCGGAACTGTCGCACAACCCCCGAATTGCAGATACAGTATCTTTGGCTACAAGAGAAGGGATAAATGATGTTGCACATGCTGTAATATTATGTCAATAGAAAGGTAGCATCAGTAGCTGTATGAGAGCTTCTGCAAAGTAATAATCTTTTCCCAAACTGTTTCCACACTTGTGCCCTCCTTCTGACTCAGCCACACATATTTGTGCCTCTCCTCTCCAAGCAGATCCCAATCTCTCAGCCCTTCCTTCACTTTGCATCCAAAAAGCAACCTCCTCCTCTCCCTCTCTGCACCTAAGTAGGACAAGCTCTGCCATGGCCAGTCCAACATGGGAGCACAGATAGGTTTGGGATTTTAGGAGAAGGCTTGGAGCAAGTAGGGAACATACACCTATTCCTTCAGCCTTGTTACTAGTGGAGACTCATTTCTCTTGCATCACTTCTGGATTCTTCCCTGTGACTTCCAAATACTTTGCACGATTGGCATCAGTGCAGCTGAATAGTCCCTGCCCTGGTCCAATGAGGGGAACTGCTCTAATTAGTTTCCCTCCTAACTGCCTTTGCTGCCCCTCCAATCATTAATTCCGTCTCTACAGAAGCAGCGAGAACCTGCGGCTGGAGCAGCTGCCGCGGGAGAGATAGAATCTGTGAACAGAGGAACTGCTTTGTCTCACCAAACTGACTGCTCCTCCAATCACAGCTCCGCAGTCACTTCCTGTATTTTATTTTAACCTTAGTATTTTATTATTGTTTTTACTTTCAGCATTGAAGCAGTCGAACTAAAGCGACTTTACTGCAGAATATATTTGTGATGTCTACTGTTGGATATTTACCTTGGAAATAATCCCTACCTTTTCCCCTTGGCCCCATGAATGGAATGACACCTGAAGGGAGCAGTAATGTACATAAAGGTAAGATAACTGAGATTAAGAAACAAGTGTGTGGGTGCGAGATGGGTGCGAGATGGGTGCGAGATGAATCCTTAATGTAGAGTTCAACTGAGTCTATTGACTTTTAAGGAATGGCATGGTTTGTTTGTAGTCAAAGTTTAAGTAGTCTTTAAGTCCAAGGTCTGGCTACCTTGATTCCAAGCCTGTAAAGTGAATAATGTGGTATAACTGTGTTATTGCTAAAGGAACCCAACAGATAAAACCTGCATGTTGGTGCTCCAGATAATATTAAGTTAATAAAGTTAAAGTCATTGTTAAAGCTGTAACAATTTTTTTTCCCCAATTCATTCACGGGATGAGAGCTTCAGTGGCTAAGTCAGCATTTATTGTCCATCCCTAATTACACAGAGGGCAGTTAACAGTCAGCCACATTGCTTTACATCTGGAGCCACATGGAGGCCAGACCATGTAAGGATAGCAGTTTCCTTCCCTAAAAAGGACAATAGCGAACCAGATGGGTTTTCCAACCATTGACAATGAATTCATTGAATTCAAACTGCACCATCTGCCGTGGCAGGATTCAAACCCAGGTCCCCAGAACATGACCTGGGTCTCTGGATTAACAGTCCAACAATAATACCACTAGGCCATCAACCTACCACACACTATGTGTTAGCTGCTTGGAAACAAAGAGGTCAGCATAGGTGAGATTATTGTCTCAGTAGTCATGGAAGGGCTGCAGAACAGATAACAAACTACATTAAAAAATCAAAATATTTGATGAGAGTGCCAAGAGACAACTGGCCAATTGTTGGGCCTCAAAAAGGCAGCTTTGGACTGCCAATGCCAATCACATGGGAAGCAAGCACTTCATGGGGCATGAGGAATTGTGCCTGACATTAGCTCAGGACAAAGCTGGCCATAAACGTTTTGGTGATCAGAGGAGAGAACTGATGATTTCCTCAGTTCTAACTCTTGGAGAATCCTGGATAACTTTGCACACGTGGATACTAGCTTACCCTAGCTAGCTCGCTCACAATGAAGCAGTCTTACCACCTACCTGGAAACTGAAAGAGAAGTGATCACACTTTTCATTCCAAACCGAGGAAATTTGGAACAGGTGATTGTATAAATCTTATAAGCGTATCGTTCTTTTTCTCAGTGCCTAATCAAAAGTGTTATGCACAAACAGTTGTTCATACCCAGAGTAAACCTCCAAAACAAAAAGGGCTAGTAATTTGCTAGGTGTGTTATTTTAGTAGATTACAACTCTGCCTTTAACAGAATTCACCATTAAAGATTCCATCCGGGGTGTGCATACAATGTTCTGATTTTACCTGACAACTAGTCTGCTGTGTCTCCAAGATAGTAGGAACTGCAGATGCTGGAGAATCCGAGACAGCAAGGTGCAGGGCTGGATGAACACAGCAGGCCAAGCAGCATCATAGCTCTGCTCCTATGATGCTGCTTGGCCTGCTGTGTTCATCCAGCC